TGACAGGCCCCTAGAGGGTCCTGGATGTCATTGACAGGCCCTAGAGGGACCTGGATGTCATTGACAGGCCCTAGAGGCACCTGGATGTCATTGACAGGCCCTAGAGGGTCCTGGATGTCATTGACAGGCCCTAGAGGGTCCTGGATGTCATTGACAGGCTCTAGAGGGTCCTGGATGTCATTGACAGGCCCTAGAGGGTCCTGGATGTCATTGACAGGACCTAGAGGGTCCTGGATGTCATTGACAGGCCCTAGAGGGTCCTGGATGTCACTGACTGGCCCTAGAGGGTCCTGGATGTCATTGACAGGCCCTAGAGGGTCCAGGATGTCATTGACAGGCCCTAGAGGGTCCTGGATGTCATTGACAGGCCCTAGAGGCACCTGGATGTCATTGGCAGGCCCTAGAGGGTCCTGGATGTCATTGACAGGCCCTAGAGGGTCCTGGATGTCATTGACAGGCCCTAGAGGCACCTGGATGTCATTGACAGGCCCCTAGAGGGTCCTGGATGTCATTGACAGGCCCTAGAGGGTCCTGGATGTCATTGACAGGCCCCTAGAGGGTCCTGGATGTCATTGACAGGCCCTAGAGGCACCTGGATGTCATTGACAGGCCCCTAGAGGGTCCTGGATGTCATTGACAGGCCCTAGAGGGTCCTGGATGTCATTGACAGGCCCTAGAGGGTCCTGGATGTCATTGACAGGCCCCTAGAGGGTCCTGGATGTCATTGACAGGCCCTAGAGGGACCTGGATGTCATTGACAGGCCCTAGAGGCACCTGGATGTCATTGACAGGCCCTAGAGGGTCCTGGATGTCATTGACAGGCCCTAGAGGGTCCTGGATGTCATTGACAGGCTCTAGAGGGTCCTGGATGTCATTGACAGGCCCTAGAGGGTCCTGGATGTCATTGACAGGCTCTAGAGGGTCCTGGATGTCATTGACAGGCCCTAGAGGGTCCTGGATGTCACTGACTGGCCCTAGAGGGTCCTGGATGTCATTGACAGGCCCTAGAGGATCCTGGATGTCATTGACAGATCCTAGAGGGTCCTGGATGTCATTGACAGGCCCTAGAGGGTCTTGGATGTCATTGACAGGCCCTAGAGGGTCCTGGATGTCATTGACAGGCCCTAGAGGGTCCTGGATGTCATTGACAGGCCCTAGAGGGTCCTGGATGTCACTGACTGGCCCTAGAGGGTCCTGGGTATCATTGACAGGCCCTAGAGGGTCCTGGGTGTCATTGACAGGCCCTAGAGGCACCTGGATGTCATTGACAGACCCTAGAGGGTCCTGGGTGTCATTGACAGGCCTCTAGAGGGTCCTAGATGTCATTGACAGGCCCTAGAGGGTGCTGGGTGTCATTGACAGGCCCCTAGAGGGTCCTGGATGTCATTGACAGGCCCTAGAGGGTCCTGGATGTCATTGACAGGCACTAGAGGGTCCTGGGTGTCATTGACAGGCCCTAGAGGGACCTGGATGTCATTGACAGGCCCCTAGAGGGTCCTGGATGTCATTGACAGGCCCTAGAGGGTCCTGGATGTCATTGACAGGCCCTAGAGGGTCCTGGATGTCATTGACAGGCCCTAGAGGGTCCTGGATGTCATTGACAGGCCCTAGAGGGTCCTGGATGTCATTGACAGGCACTAGAGGGTCCTGGGTGTCATTGACAGGCCCTAGAGGGTCCTGGATGTCATTGACAGGCCCTAGAGGGACCTGGATGTCATTGACAGGCCCCTAGAGGGTCCTGGATGTCATTGACAGGCCCCTAGAGGGTCCTGGATGTCATTGACAGGCCCTAGAGGGACCTGGATGTCATTGACAGGCCCTAGAGGGTCCTGGATGTCATTGACAGGCCCCTAGTGGGTCCTGGATGTCATTGACAGGCCTTTAGAGGGTCCTGGATGTCATTGACAGGCCCTAGAGGCACCTGGATGTCATTGACAGGCCCCTAGAGGGTCCTGGATGTCATTGACAGGCCCTAGAGGGTCCTGGATGTCATTGACAGGCCCCTAGAGGGTCCTGGATGTCATTGACAGGCCCTAGAGGGTCCTGGATGTCATTGACAGGCCCTAGAGGGTCCTGGATGTCATTGACAGGCCCTAGAGGGTCTGAGAGAATACCATTTAATTTGACGTTATACAGTACATTAAAGTACTCTTAGGACCATAGCTAAGGCCTGCATTATTATTATTATTATTATAATAATAATAATAATAATAATAATATTATTATTATTATTATTATTATTATTATTATTATTATTATGTGCGGTTGGGAATTCCTTGGTCGCTGGTTCGAGTCGCTTCATTGTTCCAGCAGATTTTCTCGTGATATTAATAATATAACTGATGAGAGATCCTACTAATACAGTACTATAAACTAACCTACAGTAACTTAACTGGTAAAATGTGAAAGTGAAGGTAATTGAGAGAGAGCCTATGAGAGAAGAGGATGAACATCTCCATCTTGTGGTGGTCATACCTGGCCGTCTTTGGTATCCTGGTCCTCGTGTACTCGTCTGTCCTCTTGGCCCTCCTGTGGTGGAGCAATGGTGAGTCCTCGGGGGGGGGGGGGGGTGGAGGAAGCATTGGTAGGCTGCACTCGGGGGAGCAACGGTAGGTGCACTCGGGGGAGCAACGGTAGGTGCACTCGGGGGAGCAACGGTAGGTGCACTCGGTGGAGCAACGGTAGGTGCACTCGGGGGAGCAACGGTAGGTGCACTCGGGGGAGCAACGGTAGGTGCACTCGGGGGAGCAACGGTAGGTGCACTCGGGGGAGGAACGGTAGGTGCACTCGGGGGAGCAACGGTAGGGGCACTCGGGGGAGCAACGGTAGGTGCACTCGGGGGAGCAACGGTAGGTGCACTCGGGGGAGCAACGGTAGGTGCACTCGGGGGAGCAACGGTAGGTGCACTCGGGGGAGCAACGGTAGGTGCACTCGGGGGAGCAACGGTAGGTGCACTCGGGGGAGCAACGGTAGGTGCACTCGGGGGAGCAACGGTAGGTGCACTCGGGGGAGCAACGGTAGGTGCACTCGGGGGAGCAACGGTAGGTGCACTCGGGGGAGCAACGGTAGGTGCACTCGGGGGAGCAACGGTAGGTGCACTCGGGGGAGCAACGGTAGGTGCACTCGGGGGAGCAACGGTAGGTGCACTCGGGGGAGCAACGGTAGGTGCACTCGGGGGAGCAACGGTAGGTGCACTCGGGGGAGCAACGGTAGGTGCACTCGGGGGAGCAACGGTAGGTGCACTCGGGGGAGCAACGGTAGGTGCACTCGGGGGAGCAACGGTAGGTGCACTCGGGGGAGCAACGGTAGGTGCACTCGGGGGAGCAACGGTAGGTGCACTCGGGGGAGCAACGGTAGGTGCACTCGGGGGTGCAACGGTAGGTGCACTCGGGGGAGCAACGGTAGGTGCACTCGGGGGAGCAACGGTAGGTGCACTCGGGGGAGCAACGGTAGGTGCACTCGGGGGAGCAACGGTAGGTGCACTCGGGGGAGCAACGGTAGGTGCACTCGGGGGAGCAACGGTAGGTGCACTCGGGGGAGCAACAATAGGCGCACTCGGGGGAGCAACAATAGGCGCACTCAGGGAGCAATGGTAGGTGCACTAGAGGGTAGAAGGAACGGTAGGTGTTCTCTAGGGGGCGCACCATTATGGGCTCTGTTTACTGAATTGCAGTTTTTATGGACTGAAGTGTGGGGAGGTCCTCTCTTGGGGAGCAAGGAAGAAAATCCTCTTAAACTCTTCCACATTAACTCTCTTTAATGGCCCACACGACTGACAAGTGTGCCCTAAAAGACTTAATCAACAGAAACATTACCCCTTCCAACACTACACAAGACACAGCTCACCATATAACTCAAAAGTGCATGAAGACAGCCAACGTCTTCATGTGACAGCCAAAAGATGTCTTCATGACTTCTCTTGACAACAAACAACATTCAGTACCTTGAAAAAGACTTACCTATGCCTTTATATGCCCATTTGGGAACTGTAAGCACCAACGATCTCAATATATAGGCAAGATGGCAAAATCTTTTTCAAAGCTTCTAAAATAAACCACAAGGAACTATCAGAGATCACATCATCTTTAATAGAGATTTCTCGACTAACAGCACTGAAATAATTGAGAAATTCATTGACAATATTTGATTACTGTATATATAGCCAAAGCACTATATATCGAACACACACTTGTCCAATTCTCAATGGCCATCTATAAGACCAACACAGCTTATACGATTCCTACTGCATGAAATGACCCATGCAAGATTACTTAATCCACTGGGTAACTGCCAATCCTGCTTATTTGTATTCACCTTCCCTCTGCCTCTGAAGATCTTCAAGAGACTTTCAGGAAAATATGTTCTATACTGTAGTGACAGGCTTCAAGCCCAATGAAAGGTTAAATGATCTTCCCAAGTGAAAAACACAGGAAATGTTGGTAATATTCATGCTATAATTGTTATTGATTCTAAGAATTTTGTTCATATTCAGTAACTCATGTCTACAAGAAACTCTGCTTCTAAAATATAATTGTTTTTATATTACATATTAATACTATGTACTGTATTTATTTTAATTCTCGTTAATTATTTCCATACTCTCGTGGACATTCATCAAAGTGTACATACTCATGTATGTATGTGTATACACATACAATGCATGTACATAAACATGCATTGTTTATCATGGCATAATGACGCGTGTACAAGTTAATAGGAGAGGACCAGGGAGCCGGTCGGCCGAGCGGACAGCACGCTGGACTTGTGATCCTGTGGTCCTGGGTTCAATCCCAGGTGCCGGCGAGAAACAATGGGCAGAGTTTCTTTCACCCTATGCCCCTGTTACCTAGCAGATAAATAGGTACCTGGGTGTTAGTCAGCTGTCACAGGCTGCTTCCTGGGGGTGGAGGCCTGGTCGAGGACCTGGCCGCGGGGACACTAAAGCCCCAAAATCATCTCAAGATAACCTCTCATCTTAAGATAATATTGTCTTTCCACAGCGTGGGCGACTAGAGGACGTGGTTGTCAGTGATGAATACCGGGGCAAGCAGCTAGGCAAGCTGTAAGTATGAACTCTTTTAATGATTGATTGATGAAGATTAAACCACCCAAGAGGTGGCACGGGCATGAATAGCCCGTAAGTCTCTGAATGTTCTCTCTCTCTCTTTAAATCCATGGTCCTTCATAATGTTCTCTATTTTCTCCCTTTCCCCCGTGCATGTCTACTTTTACCTGAATTTACGCGAGTACTATGTGCAACACTCTATTGGCCTCGGTGAGTACAGGAAGCGAGGGAATTATGAGGAGAAAGCGCCCAGCCATTACGACTATATAGCACTTAGAGGGGATCAGGATAATGATTTGGGATGGGACGGGAGGAAGGAATGGTGCCGAACCACTTGCAGGGTCGGGGATTGAATGCCAACCTGCATGAAACGAGACCGTCGCTCTACCGTCCACCACAAGTGGTTAGGCAGATGAGGACAGGAAGCCATCAGCTTGTCAAATGTCCCCCACCCCCCTCCACCCCTCATTTATCATGATGATTTTCTTCAAGCTAAATTTTAAAATTTAAGTTTTGGCATTTACAACTTTGGAATGTAGGTGGTTCCATGGACTTATAACCTTTTGGGTGAAAATGCATCTCGTGTTTTCTGTCCTACATTGTGGCTTGTTGAGCTTGAAACTGTTGCTCCTTGTTTGTGTTACATCTGACCTTTTGAAGTTGTTGTCTGGATCAGCATCCTCCAAAATGTTTAGTATTTTAAAAGTTTCAAAGAGATCCGCCCTGTCATGCCTGGTTTGTAGTTTGTTAGGCCTGTGGCCCTCAACCTTTCCTCGTATGAGAGTTGTCTTAATATTGGAATGATTTTTGTTGCCCGGTGTTGCACTTTCTCAAAAGCAGCTGTGTTTTTGTAAATGATGTCTCCAAGCTTGGAGACCTCAAGCTTATGCTCCATTTCTCCAATCATTCATTCCTATTATCCCAACCCCCTGTTATTTCTTTTAACCATTGGTTTATCCATTCTAGTATTCTATAATTAATTCCATGGGCCTGTAATTTCCTTGTCAGTCTTACATGTGGTACCTTGTTAAAAGCTTTAGCAAAGTCCATGTATACTACATACTCTGGAAGTTCTTTGTATGAATAGCTGGTTACTGGCCACGTTATTCTTCATATTGTTGCAATGCAATAATATCCCACAGCTCCTGGTGTATTTGTTGACATTCAACAAGAGGAATTCCATCTCTCGTAATTCCAGCAACTTTCCATTTTAACATTCCAGCCCATTACCCCCACTCCATAAACATGCACACAGGAGAGGGGGTGTGGCAGTACTTATTAAAATACATACATTTTTAGAACCCATGGAAGTGGCAAATGAATACAAGGATATCATCACTGGGAGAGAGAGTGGGGAGAGGGAGAGTAGGTGAGGGAGGGGGCAAGAGAGAGAGAGAGAGTAGGTGAGGGAGGGAGGGGTGAGAGAGGGAGGGAGGGGTGTGCATGATGGAGTGTGTACAGGTGGTGCTTTAATTAATATGAGGGTACATTAATTACAACCATCTCAGGTGTGGTAGTTACAGCCATTGGGCATATTAACATACTCATATTTAGTACTTGCCTAAAAGCCATAGACTCCCCAGACACGGGGTGTTTCTCCTGATGATCCTCTGCCATCCCTCTATTGCAGTCATCTTCACTGCCTCTTGGGTTTGCAGCCTTAAGCTTTAATTCAGTCTTGTCTCCAACAAGTGAAACACAAGCTGATTTGAATTCAAGTTGGGTGACTATCTTGGCTAGTCAAACACTTTCCATTTACCTGATAGCCACTATCCCTCAAATGTCCTCAATGGGGAAGGGAGGCATGTTAAAGGTCTCTCATTTGTCCTAATGATTTTATTAAGGTGGAGTTTGAATTGCAGCAGTGTTACGGTATTTACAGCTTTAGTAGGTAGGCGGTTCCATGGGTTTGTAATCTTTTGTGTGAAAAAGCATCTTCTGTTTTTTGTCCTACATTGTGGCTTGAGTTTGAATCCATTGTTCCTTGTTTATAATAATAATAATATAATAATAATAATAATAATAATTTATTTAGGAACAGTACATAGTTGCAGCGTTACAAGTACGAACATTGTTAGATTTAAAGACAGAGGTAGTACATACAATACCTAAAGCCACTAGTACGCATAGCAATTCGGGCAAGGAGAGATAGGGAAAAAACACTTAGACTAAAACTTAATAGTAATTGAGCTTAAAGTATAAATTGTGTTGAATGAAAAAAATAATAAAAGTTAAAAAAAAAGGGGGGAACATGGTAGAAAATAGCCAATATACAAGTTGGTCAACAAACAACATTTTTTTTTTTTTTTTTAAATAGTAAGAGATGGGTTGACATTTAGAAGTAAGGTAGGTTACATGGAGTTAATTAGGTAGCACTTAGTTTTCATCTTATGTTTGTGTTACATCTTTCCTCTTAAAGAAGTAATATTGATCATTATCCTCCCATTTGTTCAGTACTGTATTTTAAAAGCTTTGATGAGATCCGCCCTGTTATAACAATGGATGAAAAAAAAATGCTTGTCTCCTTCTCAGTATAGTTTTATTTACAACAGACAATAACATCACACCGGTATCGGTGGCATGAATATAAACGTTACATACAATACCTTATAGACAACTGAACTTCGGCTCCTAACATTATGAACCTAATCCTAGAGGAACTTAATCCTACAACATACCATAATCCTAGCACCCTCTGTCATGTCTGATTGGCAGTGTTGTTAGCCCTGTGGACCTCAACTGTTCCTAGTATGAGAGTTTACTTAGTTCTGGAATTATTTTTTTTTCCTAGTGTTGTACTTTTCTCTAAAGCAGCCATGTCTTTCTGAAGATAAGGTCTCCATGCTTGGATACAATAATCCAAGTGGGGGCACACCAGAGTTTAATAATATACAGTTGAATAACTACCTTGTTTTCCTTGAAGTCAAAGGTCCCTTTGACTATTCCTAGGGATTGGTTGGCTTCCTTTTCCTACAGATCCTACTTGCTGTGCAACTTTCAGTGATTCTTGGATTCTAACTCCAAGGTCCTTGGAGTTAGGCCCATAATATCATACTTGTTGGTGCTTGCCCTCTGTGGATTTCTATGACTGTCTTAATATTGAAAATATTTGTAAAAATATTTATATATAGGAACATATTACAGTAGTTAATTAGTAGATGCAGAAATTATACCAAATGCATTTTTGGCATAAAAATGGCCCATTTATTCTTGGTATAATGAATTAAACATTTAATACTGAATGAGAAGTGAACATGTATGATTTGCTTAGGACATTTAGTAAATGCTATTTAATTTTTAATTAATAATTAATGATGAAGGTTATAGACTATTTTATTATAGAATCTGTAGAGCTAGCAACAGCACACACACACACACACACTGCCCTTCAAGACCACTGGCAAGGGGAAAAACAAAACAGAGCTTGATTTTGAGGGATTCAATGAAGAAAGCATTGATATTAGTAGTCTACATAACAAGTTGGTAAATTTAGATACTATAGTGAACTCTCATGTAGAAATAATTAGTAAATTGAAAGAAAGTAATGACCATTTGAATAGCAAAGTTTTATGTCTTGAGGGTTTAGTGAAAGACTTGCGCAAGGATAAGAATCAATTGGAAACAAATTGCAAAGCCATGGAAGAAGAAAATAAACTCTTAAAAATAGCTTTGGAAGAAGTTAAAGTAAATTTAAACATAAATGACTACAATAGGTTAGGCAAGGAAATTCAACAGGAGAAACAGCTTTTGTCAGCACAGATGGAGGAAGTTACACAGGGAATAGAACAGTGCAAGAAAGATATGCAACTCACTTATGCACAAATGGCCAAGGAGAAGGAAAAAATAGAAGAAGCAGTAAAGGAAGTCAAACACTGCAGCAACCAAGATAAAACAAACATTAGGCTAGAAGTGAGGAAAGAATTGGCATCTAACCCGAAGTTGGTGCAAAACAGTTGATCGGAGTAAGTCCCTGATCATTTTTGGCTGCAAAGAAAAGGCGATAACATCTAGGTCAGAAAGAGCTGTAGAAGAAGCTAAAGTAGTAGATAAAATTGTTGGCCTCGTGGAAGGTCTTACAAACAGAGAGAATGTGTGCGACTACAGGAGAATAGGCAGGTACGTAAAAGGGAAAGATCGACCTTTGAGGATCACCCTAAACGGTGCCAAACAGATGGAAGAAGTACTAAGGAATGCTAGAAAATTGCAAAGGGATGAGGATGGGAAAGGGTGGTCGTTAAGACGAGATCTTTCAAAAGAAGATAGAGAGAAGCTGAAACTGAACCTCGCCGAGGCAAAACATTTAAATGAGAGCAGGAATGAAGAAGAAATAAATTCTTTTTTCTACAAAGTGATAGGGGTAGGCAAACCAGTAAAGTGGTACATAAAGGCAAACCAACAAAATCAATAGAGAGAGGGGGAGTGAAGAATAAGGAGAGGGGGAACAAGTTCCTGAAGATTGCATACACCAACATAGATGGAGTGAGATCGAAGATACTGGAGTTAAGTGATGTAATACAGCTGCAGACACCAGACATTGTTGCACTCACGGAGACAAAACTTGAAGATGTAATTTTAAATGAGGTCATATTCCCAAGGGGCTACTCAATTTGGAGACGGGACAGAAAAATTAGGAAAGGCGGTGGCGTTGCTGTGCTGGTAAAAGAACACCTAAAGGTGAAGGAAATAATGACTGCCAATCCACAAGAAGTTGACATAATAGCACTAGAGATCTGCTATGAGGATGATAAACTAATGATGATAAATGCATATAGTCCACCGCCAAGCAGCACATGGTCAAAGGAGGAGCTAGATAGTAAACGTGAAGGTCTTATAACAATAATGAGAGAGATTATAGCGAGAGCGGATAACGATAGATCACGACTGTTGATAGTCGGTGACTTCAACTTGAAATCCATAGACTGGGAAGCATATGAAGCTAAAACAGAAGATTTTTGGACCTGTAAATTTGTAGACCTCATCCTGGAAACATTCTTGTA